ACAAAAGCTAATATATTCATTTTAAAAATGTAGCACTGCAAGAAAAGGAAAAAAAAAAAAAAAAAGAATGAAAGGACGCTATGTGTAACCTACTTAACGTCTGAAAGGACATGAGAGTTTTACTCTTGCTCTTCAAAATATATAAAAATTCACAAAAGCGTACATTCCTATGATAACAGATTTTGACTTTCATAATCAAAACAATTATTTTGTTTTTGCAGTTCATCAGTATGGAGTTCAAATGGAGCCAGAATGCATAAAAGCATCTCATTCTTTTTTCATAGCCCTACATTTGCTTAGCCTTATTTTAAGAAATCATAACCAGAGAAATCTATTAGTTTAGGAAACACTTAATGAAAAAGATGGTCAGCCTTGAATTATACTCAGTTACATGAAGTCTAGGATACCTTTATATGAGAGTTTATATGCTCTCTGGCTTTAGATATTAAAATGCTATGTGATACACCACTGAAACAGCAGGTCAAAGCACTTAGGGAAAGACATCTTCACTTGCTTGCAGAATGACACAGAAAGATGGAAGTAGAGAGAAAGCTCCTCTTTCTTCCTCTCCCCTCATGTCCTACTCCTCCTAAATCAAGCATGGAGCCAGCTCAGAGCAGAAACATGCACAGGGCAATCTGCAAAGAAGGGAGATCAGCTGTTTGACATCATACCAGCCCTTCCCAACTCTGCAGTCTCTGCAGGATGATTTGGCCCATCATGTCAAACCTCAAAGTCTGCTGTTAATCTATGGTGCATATAGAGGTCCCTTAAAGGTATCTCTATATATTTTAAAATTATTAATAGATATTTTTGTAAGCTCTTGTTGCATTCTGTCAGGGAAGAAAAACAAAACAAAACAAAAAAAAAAACCACTGGACTTTTTACCTTTACTAGCCACTGGAGGAAAAAGATTAAAGCACCTCCCAACTCTTCTCTGCTTACTTTTTTTTTTTTTTTTTTCCTCCTTACAACAGGAATTTTCACCAAAGCCTAAGTTAGTTAAATATGCAGTTCCTCTGGAGCTCTTCCATGAAATCAGAAAATCCCAGATAGAAATGTAGACGTGTTCACCTTATGTACAGAGGACTGGTATAGGTCCTATGCAGGTTAGCCCATTGACAGGGTTCTCTCAGAGCCAGTTCTTCACTGAAAGTTTACTTTTGAAAAACCTACTCTGAAAACTGTAATTTTAAATATATCAATGAGTAAGATTCATTATCCATGAGTCCACAATTCCAAACAGTATTTATACACTTGGTTCCTCATGCACGTAGTGAAAGGAGATAAAAGCATATGCAGCGGAAAGTAAGGGGGAAAAAAAAAGGAGCATTCAATTTTTTATTTTTAATAATGGCAACACCCTCCCTGACATTTCAGGAATTTCTGACAATAGAGAAGTTTTCTGACATGAAAGCAATTTCTTACTATGACTTTTTGTCAAACCACTGTGGGCTGCAGTTACCACAAAATTGCTTTGTACTCATTGCATGTTATTTGATGGCAATCGCTATGATTGTTGGACAAAGCATTTACATGTGTCAAGCGTACCTTTCATAAAATCTCACAGTTGGTCCTTATTACTTCAGTTCACTAGTATTTACTTTGCATGCGTATACAAGGCATACAGATCTGCATAAGCACACTGCAAACTATGTAACTTGCATTTCTTATCACTGCATGACAGTTCTACAGTTCCTGTTCAAAGCAATTCTGTGACTACCTACACAGACACCCCTGCAAATGGCTCAAAAGGTACGCTTGAAATGACAAAGGAGGTAGTTTGTTTCCAGAGCTCAAGCTATTAGATGTTATGAAAGTACACAATTTTCCAGGGTTAAAAATCCACTCTCTTGCCTTTCTTTTACTTGAACAGTAACTTTCCAACCTTTTATTTCAAAAGGTAGAAGTTGCAGAGAAAATAAATATACAGACTATTTTACAATAACTTCATAGCAAAAGGTAGTTTGCAACATGGCTGCAGAACCTGGAATCAATTTGACACTGTACTGCTTGAAAATTACTCGCTACCCCATTCCTGGTCTGAAGGAGGCTTGGGGTGGGTGGACAAGGGGAGAAAGCTAATTGAAAGCAGCTTAACTCTGCCTTTAAGAAGTCAAATGGCAGAAACTATTTGTTCAGCTGACTTGAATCTAAGCAAAACCTATTCTAGAGATGATTTTAGTGAGGACCCAAGCCTGCGCTACACAGAACCATGCAGAGTCTCAAAACCCTGAGAGCTGACCCCATATTCCTACAATGTGGTCAAGGCTCATGAAGTTTTAAGCAAGATACTTATTTCTTTTGTTTACAAAAAAAACAGCGTCATTTATAAAATTCAAAGGCAGAATGTAGAATATGCCTACAAACATAAGTCTAGATTTATAAACAAGAAAACAAAATCAGTTCAATTGTTTTTCCACTATTGTTAATGTTTATTAATGTGCACGTCTTAATATGCAATTATCCTCTTTGAGAAAGCAAGGGTATTTCACGTTGCATAACTAGGAGTCAATTATTTATCAGATGATGCCAAGCACAGATTATCAGTGCAGTAGCTCAGCCACTGATCTCAGCGACAGCGTGATTCATTAAGACATGTAGAAAGTAGAGGGCTACTACTACACTGCACATCACCTAATTCCTGCCTTTAAGGTAGACTATGGTAATTTACACTAATGCTTTCTGGAAATTCCAGTGGAAATTCACACAGCTACTCCTTGGCAGAACCACAAATGTTTCTCGTTCTGCAGTTCCACAGAAGCTTAGTATGAACTCAAAGGAATACATGTGATATGAGCAGATAATCCTCCCAAATATAGTGTACTTTATGTTTTTCCTGAAAAAGTATCCATGTTCAGAATTCCTTCATTATATAATAAATGTTCTAATTACATGCCACTTCTGATTTGTAAAGTTCAAGCTACAGTGAAGCTATCCCAATAGATGCAATTCTGCACTTGCATTCCAGTCCAATAGTAGAATTACAGCAAACTTGTGAAGACACAGAAGTCTATGTTGATAATAGGGCTTTCAGAAGCATGATTCTTAAGTGCCTCCAACTGAATCAGTAATTAGGCAACTTTTGAAAAACAATTTCCCTTTCATTTTAAGCACGTGATATTCAGTAAATAAATTGAAAATTCTCCCACAAGTCTACCATTCACACCTGTTTCTATCCATTTCTTTTTTTTTTTTTTTTTGCAATAGCTTGCAATAACTTGAATTTCCAACCTTGCCATTGCAAATTGTATCAAGAGCTTGAGGTTACTCATCTGCAAAAAACATTTTTAAGTGGTTATGTTGGACATATCATAAGCTCGTTTCCTAGTCTATGCTCTTTGTCCATGTTTCTAAGCAGGTTAGTTAGGATTGGCAAGACATGAAAACGGAAGGAGGGGATCCTTGGCTAGACTACTGTACTAGCACTCATTTTCCTTCAGTCATACCTTGTTTTGGTAGCAAGGAATTTTCTTCATAGTACATAATAACGTGCAAATTTTTTAATTTTTTATTTTTATTTTTCTGCAGCAGCTGAGTGAAGAATGGTTTTCTGCTAACACATGCTATCATTGCATTTTTTTTCATCTGGTATACACCTTTATTATTTCTCACTTTTTTTTTTGGGGGGGGGGGGGGGGGGGGGGGGGGAGAGAGGAGGTGGAAGGGAGAGGTAGACCTTTTCCCCCCATCGGGATTTGCTGGCAAAATACATGCAAACAGAGCAGTATAGTAGTTACGTATGCAATCAGTAAAAATACATAGAAATTTTCATTTTTCAGTCTCAGAGACAAACTCAAGATACAGTTTCCTCTCCCTTTCAGAGGTGTAAGGAAAAGCTGATTTTCCAAAGGAAGTAAAAGCTTCACCATGGAAAAAAACTTCTTGATCAAAACTGATTTTCTATAAAAAATAGTTTCTAGTGAAATCTTTCAACACATCTGAATCTTTCTTGGATGCTAAGTATAAAAAGGATACTGTGGCATTTTACAAGAAAAATAAATGAGACACAGACTTGTTATCAAAACCTCAGCATTTTTAATTCAGATGTTTTTAATTCAGGCATAACAGCAAGCAAGAAGAGAAAAATGTGGAAGAGGAGGAAAAAGATTTAAATTAGCAATTGCAAATGGATATTCTAGAAAAAAAGACAAAATGACTATTTAAACTAGATGGGATAAGTAGTTTGTTGAAAACATAAAACAGGAATATCTACAAGTAAGCTAAATATTTGATTCCACATGAATGTATATAGCTTCAAGAAAACACAGGAAGCAGGAGCTAAATTAAAGAATTATACTATTTGGGGCACCTTATTTACATTCAGACCAAAGCATTTTATTCCACACTAGATACCTAAACAATTCCCAAAAGTGATTGAGACTATAATTGTAGCGTCTTACAGAATATAACCTTAAGAAGTCAGATGAAATTTTAAAGTCAGAAGCTGTTTTAACACGAATGTTTTAGCTATATATTTTCTGTGAAAACTGTTTTAGAGGAAGACTGTTGCTGAAACACAGGATCAGGAATAAATAATAATCCTCTGAATAAATCCATGTCTGCTGTGTTATTAGATAAACAATTGTTGTAATTTATTTCATTTTATTCACGTATACACACACCAGTTTCTACTTAGGTTGCAAAATAAATTACCTATTGACTCCCTCTTAGTGCCAATACAACGTTTTTAGGTCAGTCTGTATGTTGGATTTAGCTCTTCCCACATCCTGACTAGGGCAAACTGGAGCCATACAGTTAATTCTGGCTAAAAAGCAGGGAAACAGTGGAAAATAATAATAATAATAATAATAATAATGCTGTTTCTAGAAAAGAAGAATATACAGTTTGTATACACGTAAAGTTATTGTCCCCCTGCTCTGACACTTAGCAGAAAGCAGACTATCTTCTGTTAAAAAAAATGATATAAGGACAGCACAGACAGAATAAAATTTATGTATATAGTTATTGCCATATGCAACACAATATAGGAAGCTCACCGCACTGGGTTGGATTTGGCTATCCAAATGTCCTTGGCTGCTTAGTACTCTTTTCAGAGCCAAACCAGGGGCATTCTTGGCTTTGGTTAAATTTATATTAGTCCAGCACATCCCAGTCTTCAGCTCCCTCGACACTGAGTTTTCTTTGTAAACCAAGAGGAAAACAGGATATCTGCAAATAAAAAAATCACAGCATCTCATTGAGAGCTTGCAGTACATGTGTCATTTCATTATGGACATAATCCAACACGCTTACCTATTTTCCAATTTTAGGGAAAAATAGAAACCAAGTAAGTTTTTAGTCAAAATAAGAGATTACTGGCTGTATATGAAAAATTATTTTAATCTCTGTGAACCTGGTTTATAATATTTGTATTGGAATCACTTTGAATTCAGGAGGTGTTTCTTAAAATGAATTGTTATCATACACTGCAGTCACAGAGAACACATGATAACAATGAGGGAATTTTCAGCAGCTATTGAAGTGAAGCTGTTCCATCTCTCTGAAGACAAAGATTTTAGATAAATTATACACATCTTATGTACAGATTTCCTAGGTGCAAGTACTGTCACGTTTCCTATCATCAAAGAGGAATATTGATCTATGACAGTACTGTGATTTAAATATGATCTGCATAGATAATTTCTTAAAACTCATTTCTATCGACAGATCAGGATATGAACACACAACATAGAATGACTAAATCTGAATAGTAAGTAAATAAATAAATAAAAGAAGTGAGAACTTCTCAAAGGTGACAACTCTTTTTATATGAGATGATCTGTTCTCTGGAGTTGCCTATGCTTAAACCAACTAAAGGGAGAGCCCTGTTAACCAAATTCAGGTACACCCTATCACTTTCTAGAAAGCTAAAGGAAGTCCACACAAATCCTTTCAAAAGCCTCACTCATTCCAAACTGGAGCATAACCAGTGTTGCAGAGACTCCTAGAACACAAAAGCTGCTGTTCAGTTCTCTACCACCTCTATCACATGAAATGCATGCACTATTCCTATTAGGAGGTATATGAGGGAGATTACATGTCCCTCTTGGAATTAAACACTGACATCATGAAATATCCATCACTTTAAATGGAGCAAGGAGGAGGACACACGTAAGTCGATAGTGCAGGAGAAAAACTTCATAAGTTCTGTTACAAATACTTATAATATCCAATGTCAAACTACAAAGTTATATCCAGTCCTCCTTATTTTGAAATGCTTTCTAAATACTCATCAGCTTCAGAGGAAGTGCAATTTGCCCTCAACACAAAACCATTTAGCACAGACTTTGCATGTATCCTTCTAGTTGCTACTAAGACTGATATCAGAGAACATAGCTCTCTTCCACATTTTCTGGTCCTGGGCAAACACATGGCCCTGCTCAAGCAGAGGGTTGGACCAGAAAACCTGCAAGGTCCCTGCCAACCTCAACCAGGCTGTGATTCTGGGAATTTGGGAGTACAAAACTCATAATTTTATTGTGTGGAGGAAAGTTTGTTGAATCAGTTGCAACAACATAATGGACTGTGAAAGCATCACAGTTACATCCTGTTGCTTAAACCGTTGCTACTCACTTTTCCAACACTCAGTAGTCTTTGAAGATGACACAAATGGTGCACTTTTGAGAGGTGTATAGCATAAAACACACTTTCCAACTTTGGTATATAGTTAAATTGAATATAGGACAACTGTGTAATTACAGACTGTGCTATTGCGCTGCTTTTCTTAATTACCTATGTTGCTTTCCCAGTTTCTAGAACAGCTGAAAAGAGACTGACACCTGTATCATCACCTGCAGTACTCATGTAAAGAACTTTTAGGTGGTTCTGTTCCCCTACTATAACAAACAGGCAAGGATAGCAACGAACAGCTACAGCTAATCTGAGAAGTAATGACATACAAAATAATCTGCTTAACTACAGACAAAATGGTAACTCTTTCATGCTGTCCCAAGCACTACCTACATCTAGATAGTAAGTACATGTCTTGTTCATTTTCCTTTGTAAAGAGTGCTTACTGAAAGAATACTTAATGATATTCTTTAAATTTCTTGGCTGATTCCATAAAACTATGTTATTAATTAAAACAACAACAAGAAAAAACAGACATGCTGAGAAAGACATCAGCTTTTTTCAAGGTCATTAAGTTTTTCTTGTGTGTTAAATATGTCAATGAGACTGGATTCCCACAACATGTTGCATAAATATTTATACAGACAGCTTCCCAAGCCTAGACTCAGATGTGCAGGCATCATTGGAGAAATAGTTGCATTGCCTTTGAATCTTTTCCGCAAGTTGGGAAATGGGTGCAGAATTGTTAAATGTCTGTCTTAAACAAATGGAAAATATATAATGAAGATGATTCCTTAATATTTACTGTGCTTTCATAAAGTTAAATTAGCTTACTTTGAAGAATATTCCATTGAGTTTTACTTATTGCTTCCTGACCCCCAATTCTCACTTGCTGGGTGTCTCTCATTTTCAAGGTCTCCCTTTCTTTGTGCTCTCCCTGCAACTTGTAACTGTTCCTTCTTTCTGTTCATGTCACAGGTTCGCTAGTGTTTCCCTCTGCCAGCTTCCTCCTTAGGTCTCATTACCTCTTAAGGTCAGTGCTTCTAGCTCTGCTCTTCCCTTCCTTCCTTTGCAATCTCATTTTTCCCTTCCATTTTCTCATTCACACACACCCCTCTCATTTCTGTTGTTTCCTGTAGCTATAGACATTCCACTTTCCCACGACGTTGTTACCTCCATAGTCTCTGTCCTCCTACTCCCTTTCTCTCCCTTAGGAAAGAGTTTTGAACTTTTGAGGCATGGATTATTTTCAAATACTTGTACAAATACAAATATTTCCAAATCAACACCTCACCCCACAAAAAGTTTGCAAGCACAGGATCATGCTAAAATTCAGGCAAAAGGTTTCACTGAAATTTAAGCTCAATAGTCTGAACAGCTGTTTTTTTTTTTTTTTTTTTTTCTCTAAACCATATCCTAATAAGAAAAAATGGGGAAAAAAATAAACTTATTGTAATGTTATTGCATTGTGGTACCACTAGAACAATTGTACTTTGCAATTACAATAGAAAACACATGCCTTTTGATTTTGCCTTTCCAAAACAGAAGCAGTAGAGCTAACACAGGTACAGAAGAGGGCTACATGAATGGACCACAGCACGGCACAACCTGTATGCAGGAAATGGTTACCTAGACGTGGACTCTCCCTTCTAGGCTGAGCAAGTTCTCACAGAGGTGTGCAATATTATTAGCACTACCAATTTTAACAGGGAATGATTATTCACTGTGTTTCCTGTCACAAGAGTTATTGAACAGCTACCAAAAATAGCAGCGGCTAGGCTTAACCTTTCCAGGGCAATACTATTTACTACAGAGCATCTTAAACATAAGAGGATAATTCAACTATATCATGCTGATCCCGACCCTGCAGTTCAATCAGGGGTTCATTTAACATATGGAACTACATTGACTTTCCAAAATGCTAACAGCAACTTTAGCCACACAGTTTAGGCTGCATTGAGAAAGCTTGCCCCACTCAAAAAATGTTTTCACGTGTAATCTAAGCTCTCCAGGACATAAAAATACTCTGTTTACTAGAGCATCTTAGATCCAAGAGGGTAAGCCAACTATGTTGGGATGGATCTGACCCTGCAGTTCAAGTAAGGGTCAGACAGTAGTGTTTAACTTGAGTTTATCAGATTTACTTTCAGCCTCCAACCATTGTTTGGGTAAGTATTAAGCATATAAAACTGTAATTCTACCAAGACTGTTGCATTTTACAATCCATCTCATTGCATCCATTTTGTCTCCTTGGAAACCCAGTCAAACAAACAAACAAAAATTATGCTGTGTTTTTCACACCTCCAAAGAGCTGTGATAATTTGTCAGATTGTCTCCTTCTATGTTACTGCTACCTTACAGCAAACAGTAAAGACTGAAGCTTGTGGACTGAAACTGCCCATGTAATGCTAGTGGTCCTGCAAGTTTTCCCTAATGCCTCTTAGAAGAGGCTTTTAAGCTAACGGACTTAAATTGAGTATTTTCATAATTTTTATATTTATAGTTGAGGTGTGGCAATTTTTTGCTGTTGTGCTGTGCCACTTGTACATAGCTGGAAGGAATATTAACTAATAAAGCTTTCTGTCTAAATAAATGCAAGACGTAAGCTGTTAAGAAAGGAGGCACAGAGACTACTCATTAGTAACTGGCAGAATCAGAATCAAGGTATACTACTTCCAGACGATCATATTCAATGTTCAGAATATTGTTTATTGAGCCACAAAATAAAATTCACCACATAAGTTCAAACAAATTATGTATATAACATATTGCTATGCATAAGTCATGTTGAAAATGACAGCCTGTTTAAAACCATTTCCCACTAATTCCATGAAACACAACCGTGCCAGGATCCAAAACCACAAAGTTTGAGACAAAAAAGCTCTTCGCTTTTTCCTTCATCACCTAAAATGTTCTTTCATGCCTACTTTCTAATGCTGTCAAATGCTGCATTCCTGTCTACAAAGACACCAAATGTACTACAGGAATTACAGATCTCTCCCTATATATGTGGAAATCTAATTTCCCATATTCGTTGTTCCAGACAATGCTCTGTTTTTCATTAAGCAAGACATCCAATTCAAAAATACATTTTGGATATGTCCCGGAATTTTCTGAGAAAGTCCCTCAGGTGGTTGAATAGTTAGCCACTTAACACTGCTAAAGGAGAGAGATTTTGAAAATCTGGCATAAAAAAAATTAAATTGATTAAACCATTTGTGTTCAAGCCCAGTTTCAACTGTTGAACTCCAGCTTCAGAATACACATACAGTATTAGAACTTAAAAACAGTCGCGAACATTTGACTGAAGTCTGTTCATAATCTCTTCACCTCCCAAGAGCCATACCAACATTTCTACACTAGAACTGATGTCTTTAAAGGTAGTTCATCCCCTTATTTCTTTCAAAGTTTATTAAAGTATTTCTAGTACATCACTGATCTTGGCACTGCCCACGAACGTGGTTATGAAGCAGGGCTCATACAAACATGTCTCGGACAGTTTGTGTTCACAAGAGCTCATATGCACAGAAAAAAATCCAAACACAGCTTCTCCTCTCCCATGCAAAATGAATATGCTTTGAATTTAAGCAGTTGGGATT